GCAGATGAGGCTTGCACAGCAGATGTGGCCTTGGTAGAGAGGGCATTCTTGGCATTACCATAGTTACTGATCGGTCCCCTGAAAAATAGATTTTGAAAGCATTTGGAGAGGAAACCTTGTGATTCTTGGAACCATGGATCCCAGAAGTCAGGTGTTATCTTCTGTTGTCTCCATAAAGGTTCTTGAAGGTTCCAGTGTTGATAGCAGACACATTTCTCAGCTGTTGTCAGGTGTGGCACAAAGGCCCACTGTCAGTGTCTTATTTGTCTGCAGTGCTGGGGATCAAACCCAGCAACTGGTGTGTGCTAGGCCAACGCTCTTCTGCTAAGCTGCATCCTCAGCCCTAGTGCCTCCTCTTTTTGATTTGGGAAGTGTGATAAATGGCACAGAGCACCCCCATGCTTCAACCTTGAGTGTGGCTTTGACTACCACAAAAGGCCAAGAAATGGGCCTGCTGCGGAGAGGCTGGTTCTGTGCCCTGCAGGGCATGGCCTCCTCTTCTGCTGTTCCTTTGTCTGTTTCTGCTTGTGTGGAGTGAACCCAACATGCATGGTGCTTCAGGTGCATGATGGCTCAGAGTAAAGGGAATGTTTGCATGTTTTAGATAAAAACACTTGTCAGTCTGTCATTAAAGATTCTTTGAGGCCTTACTTGTAATGTCAGTGGTTTCTGGGAATGTTTGCTTTTGGAGGGAATGTTTGTTCTCAGGCCAAAGTGCTGTGGAGAGGGTCTTTCGTCTCTAAAGGTTTCTTACTAGAAGGTGGTGCCATCCTGTCACAGAGCTTCCAGTGGACATGTCAAGGTGGAACTTGAGTTGCTATTCCTTTGGGTTTTTTCTATTTGTTTAGGACAATGGCAGCATATCGTAAAGGATGGCTGGCTTTCCTTGCAGTCTTGTGCTTTGTGTCTTCGGGTCACTGGGATAGCTTGTCTATTTACTGGGGTAACCAGTGGTGAGAGTGGTGGGAGGGAATCTCCCTTATGGCACTTAGCTGTTTCTAGGCCTCAGGAGGGGAGATCACATAGCATTAGAGAGAGCCTGGATTTCAGGTGTTAATATGTAGATTTGTTCCTCTACACACTTAGCACTTGGTGGCCTGTTCCCAACCTCCACCACAATGCTTGGAGTCTTTATAGATTTGCAGGCAACATGTCTGACTGGGTGTTCTTGCCTCAAGGTTTAGGTAGTGAGGACCCTTTTTCAGACAAAGCAGAGCAACCTGAGGTGTTTCAGATTTGTGCTGCTTCATTCTTTTATCCCTAGTGTGTGTGTGTGTGTGTTTTGGTGGTGCTGGGGTTTGAACTCGGGGCATTTCATGCTTGTGAGGGAGATGCTCTATCACTTGAACCACACCTCCATCTTTTTTTTTTTTAACACTCCAGTGACAAGAAAAGGAAGTTGGAAGTCAAACAAGACACCATACATAACAAGAAGTTGAAGAAAAACAGAGATATGAAGAACAAAAAAGACATGAAACTGAAGCGGAAGAAATAGTGAAGAAAACCTGAGTGTCAGTGGCCAAGTTGTGAGGAGATACACCTGACTTCTTCAACCATCTCTGGCTGGTTTGGGCAACAGCCTGGACAGTTATAAACAACAAGGCGCTCAGCAAACTCTGATGCCAACCAGTAATTCAGTGGATAGGACTGACTATGTCTGTCTGTGGGCCCACCCTGGCCTAAGGCAAAGTCACTCCCCAGTGGGTCTGCTTAGGACTTGATGGTTGGTCAGTGCTCTGGCACAGGCGGGGTGGTGTCCCCCTACCCTCCTTTCCCATAAATTCCTATTGCACGTTGGACCAGCTTTTCAGGCTCATTCCCACACATGCCGTGCTGATTCTCATCACTTCCCAGGTCCTTTAGTACACAATCTCTGGTAATGCTGATTACCAGATCTCAGGTTGATGATGGACTGCTGGGTCTCATCACAGTCTTGTCCCAACACCCTGAGGCCTGGAGCAGCAGGACCTGTCATGCACCCAGTGTCATGGCAGGCCACTGTTGCATGCTGGCCCCAGGATTTGCTGATGCCACCTTCTTTTCCACTCCTGCCTGTGGTGAGCCTGTAGTTCTGAGTGCCCCAGAAAAGCCTGAGCCCTTATTTAAGTGGGATATGACATGTTAGGTCATTTGGGAGAAAATGTTGGGAAAAGCCCTTTTGCTAGCAGAGGTGAGGGGAGGGACAGGGAATATTTTCAGTAAATAACACCTTAGAAAGACCATTTGCTTGTGGGTGCTTATGAAGTCCACACCTGTGAAAGTTGCATGTTGCCCTGTTTCTCCTGTTGAATCTTGGCTGACAGGGCCAGAGGTGTGCAGTGTGGATGGAACTTCCTAACCCAGGTGCCTGTGAGAGAACTGGCAGGTACTAAATGGTGCTGTGTCACTGGAGGGGTGTGGTGTAGCTGCCAGGTCCATGTCATTTGGGGACAGAAAATGGCGTGGTGCGTTTATTTAATGGTGTCCATGCCGTAAGTCCACATAGAGCCTTTGTCTACTACTCATGCGTAACCTGGGTTGGTAGAAGTCTAATAGAAGGACAAGGGAGTAGAGAAGGCTCTGGACAAAAAGGTTTTAAACACACCCCTCCTGGAACTCACCCCAGTGGGCAAAGCACAGGTTCTGTACCTGTCCCTAGGACTGCTGCACCTTGTCCCCAGGATGGTCGGGACCTAGGCAACAAGGCCTTTGACTCCCAGAGCTGCTGCTTCCTCCCTACACCCTCCATTGGGTCTGCAGGAATTTTACTGAGAGGAAAGAGGAGAATAATGCTTTGGTTATTTTCTCACCTGAGAGTGAGAAAGGCCTTTCAGAGAGGATTATCTTAGGAGAGTGTCCAAAAAGCAGAATACGAATCCTGTATGGTCAGAGCTAGATAATTTGTTGAAAGTTACCCAAGCATATCCTCCTCAGTCATCGTCCCCAGCCCCAAAGCTTGTCCACTGGCTGTGGGTACAAGGTAAGAGGGGCTCTGAGGCCAGACTGTGAGTGCTTGAATTCTGGCTCTGCCCTGGCCCTCACTGACCATGGTCACTGTTGTGGTTTGAACATCCTCCCAGAAACTCATATTGAAAGTTAATCATCATTGTGAGGTATGAAAAGGTGGAACCTGTAAGAGGTGATTTGGTCATGTGGGCTCTGCCTTTCTGACTGGGTTAATCTTATGGATAAATGAGTTATCTCAAGAGGGGGTCTGTTATAAAAGCCACTTTGTCCATTGGATGGGTTCCCTTGCCATAATACCCTGAGCTGCTACTCTGCTGCTTGCAGAGTCATCACTAGCAAGAAGGTGCTCATTGTTTGCAGGACCTTCACCTTGGACTTCTTAGCCTCTAGAATGGTAAGAAATTTATTTTCTTTAAAACTACCCATGCTTAGTAGTTTATTGGTAGTTTATTTTGTTATATCAAAGACAGGCATGTGACTTCACCCTGTCTGTATTCCAGTTCCACACTTGTCACAGGTGAGTGGTGGGGAGCAGTGGGTAGAACAGAATAGGAAGCGCTCAGGGCAGTGTCTGAGATGCTACTGGTCTCTGAGTTCTGGGCACTCTGCAGGTGAGGAGACCTGCTCAGTTCCATGCCAGCTCTAAGACGACTGAATGAGGACTGGCCAGTCCTCAAACCATCCTGAGCTAAAGTCCCCCATGAACAGCAGAGCATGTGATTTGCAGTCTTGGACAAGGTGCATACAAAGAGGAAGTGAATGTCAGCTGCTATATGGAGTCCTGGCCTTTTTCTTTCAAAGCATGTGTTCATACACAAGTCTTTGCATTTTGTGTTGCAATCTTGGGTCTCCTTCAAACCTGAAAGGGCATGCCTCCCCCAGACCTCACCATCTGGCCCCCAGACAGTGACATCTGTAAAGCTCAACTGTCTCAGAAGATGAATTCAGATGGGCCAGCTCTGTATGCTGTCACCAGGATAGGGAAGGGGCTAAAGAGGCCTGAACAAAGGAGCTCCTCTGTGGTCTCCCACTCCAGGACAGGAGGGGCTGGTACCAGCCTGCTTTAGTGCTTCCACTGCTCATCTGCTCCTGGCCATCCCAGAGGACTGAGTGACCAAGAGACACAAAGGGGGTTGCTGAGATAGGAGGAAAAGGGACAGAAATAGTTCTGTCACCTTGGAAAAATGTAGGCTCATTTTCTGGGGCTATTACAACATGACACCAGTGTGTGGGCCTGAAGGAGGGGGGTGGGGCTGGAAGGCCCTTGGGCTCCAATAGATAATTTCAGACTAGGGAGAAAAGGACACCCTTGATTCTGTGCACAATTTGGCTAGACATCATAGGGATTCTGTAGAGAGGGTTAGGGAAGGCCTCTTGCTTCCTGGCAGTAGCTTCTTGGCGGTGCATTGCTGGTTTTGTTGAGGGGAAAGTTGTGACCACCCTATGTGTGGCATGGGGAACTTCCGGTGGGGAGGGTAATGGGCAGTGAAGAAAGCGAAGCACCAGAAGGAGGAAGGGTGTTACTGTTCACCTACGTGGCCCAGGGTTGGGCTCTGGAACCTTCTATGTCAGGAGAACAGGGTCTCCTTTGGAGACAAGGCTCAGGCACTTGGCTGTGTAAATATCTTGTTGCTGCCCACATTGCAGAATGAGCTTCTGTGTGCATAGCCAGTGCTTTCAGCCTCAGTTACCCAAGGACTGTGAGACATCAGCTTGGCTCTCCCCGAGTCCGTCTGGCTGCTTACAGTAGCCTGAAGCCTGCAGCTGAGTAGAAATTGCCCCCCACAATCCCAGATAATGTTACTGAATAAGAAGGTCCAGCTGCCAGAGTTAAGTGATCAAATACCCCATTGCCGTTAGAATCTTAGCTCCTGGGAAGAATGATTTTTTTCTAATTATTTTAAATATTTGTTCAAGAGTATGTTCCTGGGCTAGAGGTGTGTATGGTACAAACAGTAGAGCACTTGCCTAACAAGCATGAAGTCCTGAGTTCAGACTCCAGTTATCCCCCCACCCCTAAAGAATGTTCCTGATGTACACAGGCCAGAGGGGGCTGTCCCTTTCTTTAATTTCTCTGCCTACTGGGGAGATCCATACTGGATCCCTTCAAGGGATCCAGACCCCTGAAGGGGCTCAAGCAATGAGGAGGGACCACCTCTGCAACCTTCATAGTATCTGCCATATAAGGTGGTGCTGAGCAGCTCATCTCCTCCCTGCAGCCCCCAGAGGGCGCTGTGGGCCACACACCGTAGGGCTCTCTCACTCTGCAAGGTCCCTGGGTCCACTCTGCTTGGTCTCCACCAGGGCCTTTCCCAGGACTGGCTCCTAGTGACCTTTGTCATCCCCCAAGTTTGTGTTCAGGCAGCGTGTTCCTGAATCACAGCCACTTTGGGTTAGGTTCCCAGTGACCTTAAGAATTGTTCTTTGTGCCCAGACTTCGCACTTGACTCAGCATAACCCGTTATCTGTTTCAGGGTCCCCTTGGTGGTTCAGTCAGCCAGGGCTCAGCAAGCTGCAGGCCCAAAGGCAGGTGCCTCTGTCTCAATCAGGCCAGGGCTGGGGAGAGAGGCCCCTCCCTGCCAGTCCTCAATGTGTGAGGTTGGCATGAGAATGCAAAATATGTAAGCAGCTCCCCATCCCATCCTTCCAGGGAGGCCTGGGATCAAAGGTTAGGAAAGCCCTAGACACTGTCCTCTTTCCCCAGTCTGGCTTCTGTCCAGTCGAGTGGCACATACATAATAAATAATGATGTATCTCATTTCACAGGTGAGGAAAACAGCCCAGTGAGGGATAGCGCCAGGTTGAGGTCCCAGGGCAGAGGTGAGTGTGGCATGGCACAGTACGCTCTGGTAGGGGGTTTTTTCCTACTGAGTGGCATGGAATCGGCTCTGGGTTTCCTTTCTGGTCCTGTGGGGCACCTCCCCAGCTCTGAACTCCAAGTAACCTTCTACCAGAAGTAGTGAGGCCAACATCATTGTTAATGTATTTTTATTGTTAATAAAACCATAGTACATTTACATGAAGTGACAACATTAATGTACAGTTACAGTATCATACAATATTACAGCAATAAAATAACACCTATTCTTTGTACATCCAGCTCAAGAAGCTAGTTGAAAATATTTTCCAGAATTGCAAGCCCCTGGGGGTTTTTCAAGGTGACTTAAGTGACACCTCCTAAAATTCCTAGGGCTTTTGGTGAATAAATAGTTTCTAAGGTGCAGCCACACTACACTCAGAGCAAGCTGTCCCAGTGTCTGGTCCGTCAACAGGTCAGGTGTGGGGAGCCAAGACCGTGAGGGCAGGCAAGGGAGGGGACATGGTGAGGGGCTTTTCCCAGCCCCTCCCTCCCACCAGTGCCATGTTCTTTATGCCTAAGGCTGCAGTTCCCAGTGAGAAGTGTGCCCTGCTCTCCAGTCCTGAGTTAAAGGAAACTTTCACTTGAGAGGCTCCACCAGGGGAACGTGTAGGCACTGCTGCCCGAGTCCACAGAGGCAGCCTAGAGCCAGGCCTGAGGTTCCACCCCTTTATTTTGGCCCCTCGCTGCAGCAGCAAGAGCTTGAAGCCACTGTGCTCTACACTGTACCCCTTTTACACCCTGGGCTCAGAATCCTTGAGCTGGGACTAAAGTTAGCAATCCTGAAGGGACTGTAGGCCCAGCCTCTATAATAGTGGCCCATGCCAGGCCTTTTAAAGGCACAGCCTGGAGGACAGGGCCAGGATCTGTGACATATAAGAGAACAAAGGCAAGCTTTTGCTCTCAGTGGCCTGGGGCAGAGAGGATACATTCTGTGTGTTCCTAGGGATGCCCATAGTCCCAAGTGCCCCAGCTGGGGTGCAGAGAGCTTAGAGGCGAGGTCGTTAAGGACCTGCTGCTGAGCCTCAGGGATGGTCCTCAAGGTGCAAACTGTGAGGATGCAGAAAAGGGCTACCTTTAGGTGCACGCCACCCTCCTTGCCGGTCACTTGTTAGGCAGACAGCTAGACGCAGGGCACATCTGCCTATCCAAGGGTAGATTACCTCCAGAAAAGGTGGTGGGGAAATAGCCCATGAGCCAGGCTCCAAGAGGGCCTGCAGCCTGTCCCACAACCTGCCTCACACCCGAGAGGTCACGTAGACAGAGTGCACACGCTCGGCCAGGGTGCTCTGCAGATCCTGCAGTGGGTCTAGACCTTGCACTTTGCTGCTGCGGCCATAGATGAGCTGCCGGAAGGCGTCCTGTTCCAGGAGGGCCTTCATGTGCTTGAGGAAGAAGCCCTCACAGAAGAGGGCCAGTTCGGGGGCGTTGTGGATCTGCAAGCAGGAAGAGGAGTAAGGCCCATGGCCTTCACACAGTCCCACCTGAAACCGCCCTCCGCCCACAGCAAGATCCAGCTTAACCCTTACGCTGGCCCCACAGGACGAGTTCCCTGTCTGCCCCTTGAGACTACATCTGTGGCCCTCTCTTGTGAATGGAACCCATCTGAGCTCAGGTCCCAGCTGTGCCACATTACTGAAGACTTAGCCACGGCCCCCATCGTTTTCATTGCCTATGTCACATTGGGGACACTGTGTTGCATGGCAGTCATTCCTACTCAATTGGAAGCTCCCTTCCTAAGGGCAGGATTCCAGCGTCCAGCACAAGGCCCTGCATAGGAGTGTTCATGGGGCATCTGCTCCATGTCAATGTTCATTCGGCAAATACCAGTGGCCACCCTGGGTATTAGTTAGTTGCTGAGGTCATGAACTCTATAAGGCTCTTTTAGGGCTAATGTTCTGGGATGGGGGAGACAAAATCCAAGTGACTGACCAAATAAACCAGGTAATTGCACACTGCTCAAGGCTGTAAAGGAGATAAAAGCCAATGATGCATCAGAGTGACAGGGTGGCTATTGGAGGCATGGGGCCGTGGGCTGATGAAGACAAAGGACTGGTGTTGGGAAGTGCTTTATAGGAAGAGGGAAGGGTTGTCACAGGAGTCCTGGGCAGGGACACACTGGAAAGGGCGGGCTGGAATGGTTTGGTCGAGTGAGGGGAGGCATGGGCAGGGTCCTGGAGGTCTTGTACAAGGGCTGGCTTTGATTTGCAGGATGGCTTAAGTAAAGGAAGGGCATGGTCTTGGCATTTTTGAAAGAACCTGGCCCTGCACTGTTCAAGACAGATGAGGATAGAAGGACAGTGGAGATGGAAGCAGAGACCACCGATGTGTTTCAGAGGTGTATAGCCTAGGTATGGGATATTTTTTTAGATATCAAGTTTGCCTTCTGGTTTTGAGTCTGAGCTGATAACCATGTCATTTACTGAGCAGGGGAAGACGGGCAGGGCTGGCAGGGAAGAAAATCAAGTGTGTACCTGTGGACTTCAGGTGACTCAGGCTCAGCTACTTGCCCAGTTCTACAGCACACAGGTGTGGTAGAGGAGAAAATGAGCCACGTGGACTGGGAGCATGCTCACCTCCACGCTGCTGCAGGCTACAGTGGGAGTTGCTAACCCTCCCTCGGCCTTCTACCACCCTCCACGAGGTCCAGCCGCCTGCATTTCCTCTCCTATCCACAGTGCAGTGAAGTGGCTGGATGGCACTGCCCTCACCTTGGCGTATTTGTAGGTGTTCACAGCACTCTCCACGCTGAGCGTCTGGGAGCACAGGATCTCACAGTGCCTCTGCAGGGCATCCAGTTGGAACAGGCTGGCAGCTGAGAGCAGCTAGAAAGGAGGCAGAGGGTCTTGGGAATTGGGGTCAGGCCCGTGACCCAGGCATTAAGGCAGAGAAAGCTTCTGAATATATGCCCTGTTTGCTCCCCAACCTCAGGCCCAGCCCACCTGCTGGTCTGGTCTCAGGGGAAGAGATGACAGCCTTGATTTATTTCTACTGTAGGCCATCTCCGTATTAGTTGGGACAATGTGGAAGGCACAGATGGGGTTTCTGACCTCAAAGGGCCTTGACCTGTAAGTGACATGGTTCATCTACCTGCGCTGCTGAGCCAGGCGTCCTGGCATGATGACCAGGTGAGTGGGAGGCCCACCACCACTTCATCCCTCCTGCGCTGGACCATCCCCACCAGGTTGTCTGTCTCTATCATGAGGGTGTGGCCCAGGAAGCTGGTGTCCAAAATTCCTGGTCTCTTAGAACTGGACTTGTGGTGGGATGAGAGAAAAGGCCCTCGGAACCATGAGGTCTTCAAAAGGGCTACCATCCTCCCCTCTCCCTTTCAAATGCTGTTTCTGAGAATAGGGCTGAGACATGCAGAGATCTAGAGCTATCGAGCCAGGGACACAGAGTGAGTGGGAGATACCGGGCAGCTGGGGCCCCCTGTGCCTCACCTCCAGAATGTCAGCCGTGGGGATTTCCATGGATTCTGTTCCTCCATAGTACAGATACTGCATCATCATCTGTGGCGGGAAGAGGCCCTGTGTGAGTGCCTTAAAGACCCAGGGCCCAGGTCCACTCCTGGCCCGAGAGTGCCCTCCCACTAACTGTTTGCCTCTGCTCTTCTCTGCTCAGGCTGAGACTCTCAGACACTGTTTTCCCCAGAATGAGGTTTCTAGAAGCCAACTCCAAGACCCCCCTTGTCTCTGTGACCAGCTCTGGTCCACAGTGGTTTCCCTTCAATCCCCATGACAACCCCCTGAGCCCAGGAAGAAGGATGACTAGGCTCAGATTTCTTGAGCCTCAACTCCCACAGCAGGGCCCTCCCACCCCACCAGGCAATGAGCTGTGCATTGCTCATTTTATCTAAAGTCCACATATGGCCAGGTATGGCATAAACCAGGGGCAGGAGGATTGTGAGTTTCAGGCCAGCCTGGGCTATACAGGGAAACCCTGCCTCAAAAACAAAACAACTACATTTGGATCTGGGAGGTAGCTGAGGCTCTGATAGTTGAATTTCTAACCAGCTATCCTCAGGAGATCTGGCTCCCTGCCTGATCGCCCTGGAAAGAAATGGCAGCGCTCACTTTGCTGCCTGGCTGAGACCTGCCTGGGACTCTCAGGAACTGGGAGGAAGGTGTTCCTGGGATAGCAAAGGAGATGGCCCAGGAAGATGGAGTTATATTTAGTTCTTCTGAGGTCTGAGTTGTAAACTCTAACATCACGCTGGAGTCTGGTGAAGTTCCCAGTTGGAAAAAGAAAAAAATAAGGCTGCCTGAAGAAACAGCCCCAGCAAGGCACTGGCAGGGCTATAAATAAACACAGCCGCAGCCACACAGGTGGGCCAGCCTTCAGGCTGGAGAGGCACCAGAGGGTCTATGAGAAAGCCCAACCACTGGTCCTGGCCAGGTACCGGGCGCCATCAGCCTCTCCTCACCAGAAAGCAAGGTCCCTATGACTTCTCAGCCCCTGCTGAAGCCTACACTGCATCTTACTGCATTTCAATGTCTGTCCATCCTGCTGGATGCTGTGTACTTCAGGCAGACCCAGTTCCTTGTATTTCTGGGCCTTGTGCTGAGTGAGCCAGCAGGACAGAGGCCCAGACCCTAGACACCCTTCACTCAGGGTTGGGACTGGCAGGTGGGTCAGCTCTTCCAGAATCTTTTACTAAGGAATGGCCTCAGCCCCTTGGCAAGGGCCTGAAATCCAGGCTCCCTTCATGGCTCCGAAGGGCCTCCTGCTGCATTTTGGGAGCTGGACTTGGCAAGGGCTGGCCAGCTGTGGTATGTGGGTCTCCCTGAGGCCGCTTGACTGCCTGAGTCCACAGAATGAGAAGTGCTCACTTGGAGCTTTGCAAAGGGAGCAGAAGTGGGTTAATTTTGCACAGCCTGGGCAGATACGGGTCACCTCTCTCCCAAGGCAGGCAGCCTGCAGGGCTGGATGAGCAGCCCGAAGAGCTGCTGGAGGAAAGGCCACATGCTTTCCTGCTGCCCTGAGAGAGCTACTAGGAAACAGACTGCAGGACCAGGACTGGCGCACAAACCATGTTGGAATGCCAGGTCTTCTGGACTGTCCTTCAAAGGTCTGGGTTTAGTTAACAGTGACCTGGGCAAGTCTCCAGACCTGCACCAGGCCTACAATAGCCACTGGCCACATTGGCTTCTGAGCCTTTTAAATGTTATTGGTCTGGATTAAGATGTGCTGTGTCAAATACACACGAGATTTTGAAAACTTGGTATATCTCAATTTCTTCTATTGATTACAAGTTAAAAGCATAATATTTGGGCTAAATATATTATTCAAATTGATTTTGCCTATTTTTATGCAACTTAAGAAATTTTGAATTATAGTATGTAACACATCAGTCAGTACTGCATAGGCCTCCTTGAACCTGTTTCCTCTTCAGAAAACAAAGACAGTGATGACCTCCCTCCTCTTCTCTCAGTGCTGTGAGAGCCAGTGAGATATTCGGGGGCTGCTGTGGAACTTTGCAGGCATTGTTGGGAAGCTCGGAAACCAAGGGTGGATGGATATCCAAAGTCCCAACCGGGGTGAAACACACAGACAACAGCAGAGCTCTGTACTCAGAGACCCTGTGGGCCTGGTCTAAATAACTGGCCAGAACTCCAGGTGAGATGCCCAGGGCAAGGGCAGGGACTAACCTCTCCACAGTCCATGTGTGCCTTGACGTTAGACCATTGTCCCCATTTACCCTCCCACCAACCCCAAAATGTCACCAGGTGACTGCTCAGCCCGTCCTATCACTGGTGCCCTCCCAGCTTTGGTAGGCAGTTGAGCTCACACAGGTCTCTCTGCCTGCAGTGATCACTGCCCACATGTGTGCTCTCTCTCCCACCAACCCCTGCTGCGCTCAGAGACACACCTCCATATCCTATCATGGCTCTACCTCATGCTCCAACTCACCTGGACTTGATGCTTCTTGGCCCAACAAGTTTCCAAAGCCATCCCTCCCAGGGAGTTTGGATAAAGGGATGAGAAAGTGAAAAGAGGCACCACCACACTCAGGCCAGAACCTTGACCTCTCCCACTGTGTCCCACCTGTTCTCCATATCCCCTGGTCCAGTCCAGGTCACTGTCATAACTCAGTGGATCCCTCAGCAGCTCCTAACTGATCCCCCCAGGTGGCAACCATGCTAACTTCAGTCTCTTTCTCACCTCCCTAAATGCAAACAACCAGCCCTACATCCTGGGGTTGAGTCCCAGCTCTTTGACTTTCTAGCTGTGCTAACTTGAGTAAGCTACTCAGCTTCTCTGTGCATCTGACTCCTCATCTACCAAGAGGAGTGATAATAAACCTTCACCCCCTAGGACTGTGCTGTGAGGCTTAAATGAGGAGGGGAAGCACTCAGAACCGTGTCTAAGAAATGACAACCTCATCCTTGCACTGAGTGAAGCCTTTTGGAACGTCCTGGGTCCCTGGACTAAAGTCCAAGCCCTGCGTACTGTGGCTCCCTGGAGCAGCATCAGACTCATTTCTGGTAGTTCTGAACTGAACATGCCATGGGCTCAGGCTTCTGGGACTCTTGAGTGTGCAGTCCCTCCTCCTGGATCTCTTGCTAACTGGTCCTTGAGACTGCAGCCTGGCTGTCACTGCTCCAGGTCTGGGGGAGATGCCCCATTCCTGCACTGCTAGAGCCCCCCAACCCCCCGTGCTTCCCCAAACTGTCTCAAGGTTTCACAGTCCTGTCATACCTGATGACTGCTGTGCCCTCCATGCCCACAAGTGGCTGGATTCCAAATAAGTGACTGCAGGGAATATGAGGGAGATGGTGGTTCCCTTTATCCCATGTATTCCGTGAGGTGCTATGGAGTCTATGATCTCTCAGGTTAGTTCTCAACCCTCTCCTGGGCAGGGCATAGTCTCGCACCCATCTTCCTGCCGCCTCTGGGCCTCAGTCCTGTCCCAAAGGCTCAGTCCTGCAGTCCTGAGCTCCCCTCACCCTCTGCAGTTGCCGCTGTGTGGAAAGGCGCTCCCAATCAAGCTCCTGCAAACCCTCCTCCTTGCCCATCCTGACATTTCTATGGCACACCTTCTACTCCCTGAGCTTAGCCCACTATGGCCGGGACAGGCTCCTTGCAATTTTCCTGCCTGGTGTGTGGCTGAGGTTTGATGCTTGGAGAGAGGGTACCACCGGTACCAGCCTTTCCCAAAGGTACCAAGCATCTGTGAAGCCTCTGGGCATCTGTGAAGATGCAGGCTCTGAGGCAGGGGGGTGGAAGTTGGGACACAGCGTTCCCAGCAAGCAGGCAGGGCCCACACAACAGGTGTGTCCTTCACATCTGTCTGAGGCCCCTGGCCCAGTGATTAGACTCAGGACCCTGGGGCAAGCTCTGAAGCAACAGCCCCACAGTGGGGTGTCTTCCTTTGCCCAGGAAACAGAGTGGAAGACTAACTGATTTACAGCAGCCCCTAAGCCCAGGTAGGCAAGGTCAAGGATGGGCTGGGCAGAGGGGCTTCCCTCCGAATAGTGCAGCACTGACGCCCACACACCTGAAAAATGTGGTACTTCATGTCGCTGATCTCAATGGTTTTGCTGCTGTCCCCGTCTTGTTCTGATTTATTGGTCATTAGTGTCTTGAACCTGGAGCAAAGGAGGCAAGACAAGGCAGGGCTTGAACACGACTTTAACTCCATCCCTGTGCCATACCAGCACCATCCATCACCTGACCAGCTGGAGACACAACGCTTGGAAAATGACTACCGTGTTCCCAAAATAACTTTGGGCAAGTGACGTTTTACATCATCCTGGGCTGACAGTTGGGCCAAGTGCCATTCTGTCCCTACTGGCCTGTCGTCCCCCCAATTGATGGCTAGTCTCTTCATTCCAGCACATCTATGTGGTCTGATAATTATAAGCAGTAACTCAGCAGAAGGTGCTTCCCAGAGCTCCTGGGGCACTCTCGATGTCACTCCTTCTGTGCCCTCTGTCCAGCTGGGCCCCACGGGCAGGTGAGCACTCTGCAATGATGGGACAGAGGCTGCAGGATTCAGTCCCTGAGGTTGCTCTTCCCTGTGCCCCTGGGGCTGAGACTACTACCTGTGCTGCCTACCTGTTAGAAGCTGTCACCAGCAGGACTTTGTGTGCATAAAACAGCTTTCCCTCCACTAGGAAGGTCACATCTGACATCTCTTTGTTGTTCAGAAAGTGAGGATCTGTGGATAAGGAAAGACAGGAAAGTGGCCTAGGTGTCCACCTCCAGGGGTTTCTAAGCATGCTGAATGTGGGGGCACAAAGGCGAGGAGCAGAGAAACAGGCTATGGGCCTTGGCACTTGGGAATGGGAAAGGACAGTGTGAAGGGGAGAAAAAGAAGAGGGGCATAGGGGACAAGCCCGCACCTAGCCTGGCCGGCAGAGTCTTACGGAGCTCCGGGATGCTGGGGATGGGGCTGCTGCCATAGCAGTGGGTGAAGATGGTGGCCAGCTGCTGGATGACAGAGTCATTCTGTGGGGAGAGAGGCAAGAGGCCTGTCAGCTTGCTGCTGCAGCCTGTTTATAGCTGCAGATACAGCAGGTTAGTTTCCGAAGTCCAGGCGAGGATTAGAGCAGCGCTGTCTTTTGTTCCTGGTGGATGTGACTTGGTGAGAAAGAGTCTTGTTTTTTCATCAGTGAGTCCCCAAATGGCTGTTTTGGCAGGGCTCCAGCCCAGACAAACCCATGGCCTGTGCCCCCTGTAGCCAGGCAGTGCGAGTCTAGGCATGTGGGGCTGCCCAAGTGTGTCAGTCTATGTGTCTGCCCCAGGGTCAGGGCTGCTGGGCCACACTCACTTTGCTGGTCTTGAGGATGTCAAACATGAGTTGCAAGCCCTCAGTCACCAGCTCCTCGTTGTACTCCTCCTCCTTGATGGAGCTGAAGTCCCGCAGGAGGCTCTGCACCACTGAGTACCGCGACTGGGAGAACGAGGTCCGCAGAGACTCGATCCAGATGTGCAGTTTCCAGGGGACACCTGGGAGGGCAGGGGAGAAGAGCAGGTGTCAGTCACTGTGAAGCACACTCTTTTCTTGGTGGACTCTTTTCTGATGCCCCGTCTCGCCTGAGCCACCTGCCCTATGACTGCATGCTGCATGACCCTTAGGTGGCTCAAATGGTAGAGCGCCCACCTGGCAAGCACAAGGCCCTGAGTTCAAACCCCAGCACTGCCAAAAAAAAAAAAAAAAAGTGAAACCAAGACGAAAGCTTTCATTCACTGCTGGGCCTTCCTGGCAGGCACAGAGGTGTTAGATGAGGTAGAGGGTAGCTCTTACCACGTGCAGGGCATTCAAGCTCTAAAAATGGAAGCCCAGTCTGGGGGTTTCTTGCACCCTTGCTTGTTGCCCCCTAGAGTTATTTGCTAGAGGGCCCCCATTAATTCTTAAGGGGTGGCCAGGTAGACTAGGGTACCCAGAAACTATTCGGGGTACCCAAAGACATGTGGCCCCCATCCTCTGCAGAAGCAGAGGAGCTCCAGCACCCAGGTTACGGCTGTGTCAGTGCACATCCAAGGCATGTGATGAGTTAACCAGCTCCCTGGGTGTGTGGGCTGGGACATGACTTTCATGACAGAAGCCAGTCAGATTCCAGTAATTACAGGGATAGTATACATCCCCCATCCCATCCCCATCTAACTGTGGATTAAAAAGACCTGGTGGCATTCCCTAGGGACATGATGACATAGGTGGTGTCAGCATCTTGGGTGTACTGGCTGTATGTGGGAGGGGATGTCCCCATTTTATGGCAGGGGCTGCCTTACTGCTCTGATAGCCCAGTCCTGAGGATTGGTGCATTTGGCTCTAGAATAAAAACACGGCTATCATGGACCAAGTGCTCGTGGTACACACTGTGTCTTATGCAAGAATATCTTATTCTTAGTTGAGGATCATCAGCAGGGAGAGAGGCAGGAACTGACACTTGGAGAGATTAAATGGTGTACAACTAACAGGATCTGGGCCTAGTTTGTCAGTCTGATGAGCCTCCATAGAGGACATGAAAAGTCCACAGACTCGCAGGTTCAAGGAATAGAAAGTTGGCTGAACCACCAGATGCATTGACTCACTGTGTATGAATTTCTGGGATACTACAAAGACCCCTGGTGCTGTGACCCGGGGGAAAAGTGGGCCTGAGGGCAGAGGGCTGTGGCTATGACCTCAAGATGTCACTACTGGGGACTGCCTCAGGCCTAGGGCATCTCCTGGTCAGGTCATGCTCAAGCATGTGTCAGTCGCTGCCCTATGCTCAGCTTCCCTGTGGCCTCAGTCTACTCTGTGGGCCTGGCCTCCTCTGGCCTGCTGGATAAGTGGGGAGTGGCCATGCCTGTGTGTGGTGCATGCCTGTGAGGCCTCACCCAGGGCTCTCAGCTCCATGGTGATGTCCACGTAGCCATGCTCGGCGCTATAGTACATGGCCTCCTGCAGGGCCTTTGTGCGGGTCCGGCTGAGTCGCACAGGTCCCTCGCTGCCACTGCCCTGGCTGGACGCATCACTTTCCTCCACGCCCTCAGCTAGGATCTCCTCTAGGGACAGCACGTCTGCTTTGGCCTGCTGCGGCTGAGTCAGAAGCTTCCTCAGGACGTTCCTGCAGGCCAAGGGGTAAAGGAGGATGAGGTCCCTAGGACAGATAGGCAATGTCTACCTGAGCTGCCTTCCAGGGCTCCATGGCGCAGATAGATTGCTCTGGGGCACCTGAGGGGGATCCCCCTGCTGTCCTGCTATTACTGAGGAATCACAGGCTTTGCAGTTGAGTAAGCTCTGCCCTCCTAGTTATGTGACCTCAAACAGGTCTGAGCCCCACTTATTTGTCACCTTAGGGTAGGATGCAAGCATCACCCTCTCCTGGGGTTGATGTGAGGCTAATGAGAAGGTATTAAATGCACATGGTGCCTGATACCAGGCAGCTCCTAAATAGCAGCCGACCACGCAGGTAACACGCCAGTCCTCACTGTTCCCCTCCTGTGCATTAATAGGGCAAAGTGGGGAGAATGTAGGGCTCCTTCCAGTTATAAAGATAGACTGGGCAGAGCATGTTCCCACGTACTGCTCCAGGTGATGGACCTGTCCTGCTTAAGGCCACACTGGGGGAAGTGCAGACCTGACCCCAGGCTCTTTTTGTCACATCCTGTGGCTTGTGGCTCTAGAATGGATGCAGCACAGAGGGACCCATATGACACCTGGGGGCTGAACCTCCTCTACACGTCTCCTAAGTTTGAGGTTCTAAGGATCCAGGGCCATCCCTTAGGGGCTGGCTGACAATAGCTGGCTCCTGATTTGGGGATTTGCTACTCTTGAGTTTATACACAGTACCTGGTTTGTGAAGGTGAACTTGCCGCAATGCCTTTCCTGGGATCCTGGGTCCCCACGAGACAGTGAAAGGCAGAGGAGCAAACAACTGCACACCAGGGGGAAGAGGCCACAGAGGGGCAAACACAGGGCATGGTGGCGTAGGGTCTGAGGGAGGTACAATGGTACCTGGAGGTGAGGTGGGTTTGAGTGGGTGAGTGTGGGGGCAGGGCTGGAAAAAAGATGCATGGACAGGGTGCTCTGGGGTAGGGTGGTAAGAGCCCCTGGGAACTGCAAGTCAGTTTCCCACCTGCCAGCCCTTCTTTTTCTACCCCATCTCTGCCCTCTAGTAACGTCTTCCCTTATTTCTCTTCCCACCCGATCCCCAGTGCTGCCTAATGGCCCTGGTTTCAGCCTGCTGCTGCCCCGTCACAATGCCAGGCAGGTCCACCATCTGCTCCTGGAGTGAGATGTGACTTCCTGCAGAGCCACCAGGAGCCTCTTTGCAGCTGAGCCATGTGCCATGTGGAAGCTCCTGGGGTGCCCCGAGGTGAACATAGGCCCTGGAGACTACCACCAGGCACTGGAAGGGATGTGGTTCTGAGCAGACCCTGGCAGCTGCAGCAGTAACTGCCCGGCTGGAAAATGGGACAGGTTGCCCTCGGCATCAGGCCCAGCCCCCATCCCAGATCTTTGAGGACCTTGATGCCAGGCCTCACTAAGCAACAGCCTCCAAATCCAAGTCCCAAGCTTTCTGGCTGACACAAAGATAGGCCCTGGCCTTTGGGGCCATTTCCTTTGCTGCCATCTGGGAGTCCAGGCTCCTAGCGCCTTGATTTCAGTGCCTAGACCACACAGGGCAGGCATCCCAGGGCAGGTACCTGTGGCCATGGGCGGCAGAGTGGCTGAAGCAGTTCATGTCCTCATGGAGGGAGGAGACCAGGCCATTGGCTTCGAGCATGCTGAGGAGGGGGTCTGCGCCTCGGCTCAGCAGCAAGCTGACCAGTTCGTAGTTCCCTGAAAGACAGGGGGCAATGCTGAGGATGCTGAGGGAAAAGGGATCAGGAGAGGGGTCTCCAAGCTCTGAATGTGGAATAAGTGAGGAAAGCCCATGCTCAGTGCATCTTGGGGGATGATGTAGAGGTGACAGGGAGATTGGAGGAAGAAGGCTGGCTGTGTTCTGTGTCCTGTCACACTGAGGAAGGGGCTTTGTGCCTGGTTGGGTCCTGCCTGGCACTGTGCTCAGCAGAAAGGCTAATGGCTGGGGTGAGGGAAAGCCCCACAGTGGCACGGAAGGAGGGACTTCAAGGGTTCCCAAAGGGAGTATATGGGCTAATGTCCAGCTTGGGTGACCCAGCAAGGAGGTGGCCAGGGCCTCATGATGGGGAGACCTTTCTGGACAGGGCAGCCATGCGTATACCTACCCGCTGCAGAGGCCAGCTGCAGGGGCGTCTCTGCATAGCTGTCCTCGCCACTGTTTACTGCCGAGCCTTCCACATGGGCACCAGCGTCCAGCAGCAACTGCGGGGTGGGGGGGGGCGGGGGAAGGGCGACACTCAGCATGGCAGGGAGTGGCTGCTGTGAGCCAGAGGCAGCTCCAGGGCACAGAACCTGTAATTCTCTCCAGGCATGTGACCAAGACATGGCTCACATTGGCAGTAGGAGAATTAGAACCTCTGAACTCCTGGTTACCCTTGGGGCTCAAAATTTGTAGAACCTTCAGCTCTGCTCTTGTGGCCCTGGATCAAGCCCCTAAGCTGTGACAACCTCTGAGCTATTTCTCTCTTTGCAGTACTTTCCTACCACCTAGTGTCAATGACCTAGAAAACTGAACAGATTGGCAGAACAGAGAGTGTCACCTGCAATGCACAGGGGAAACAAGGCCTGGGGAGCAGCAGGTGTTAGTCAGAAAGTGTGTGTGCAGTACAGGCCACAGAGCAGTGAGTGACCTGGGTAGGTACTTCAACTCTCTGAGTCTCCATTTTCCCCATCTGCAAAATGGGAGTAGAGGCCTGCCTTGCAGTTTTGCTGAGGTTAAATGAAATGATGCTTAACACACTGAGTTCAAAAACCAGTAGTACTTAGGTCTCACTGGAGAGGTTCAGTTGCTACCCTAGGCAGCAAGACAAGAGGTGGGGCTAGGCAGAATTTTGTGCATGCTCCAGGACAGCAAGTGGCCAATCCTCATTCCAGCAAGGACAGGCTTTGCCAGGGGACAGATGGGGCAGGGTTCACAGATACCAAGCGGCCCCATCTGGGCCAGGCCCGGCTCTGCCTTGGGGCAAGGGTGGTGTCTGCATTCTGCTCTGGAGAGAGCACCTTCCCAAGCTCCTCAGACCCCACTGCTCACCCCTCCCTGGAGACCAGGTGTGAGGAGCCCAGGTGACCTCCCACCTCCACAGCAGGGTGTGGGGAGCGGGGCATGGCTGTTTGCTGGAGACTCGTCAGTCAGAAACCAATCGTGCCCTGATGCCTGCACCAGTGCCAAGGCTGTGGAGGTGGAGGCCTGCCCAGTAGGATGAAACTGGGCATCAGTCCAAGCCAGCCCAGGGCCCAGCCTGAACATAGGTTGGAATTCCTCTCAGGTCCTCGGGAGGGCAGTAAATACAAAGCAGGCCAGGTGTGGCAGCCAGCCTGACAATGACCATTTACCAATTCCTACTATTGGTCAGGAATATACTGACAACCATTGAGAGTCAGATGTGACCTCTGCCCTCAGAGGCTTCAGAATCTAGCAGAGGAGGAGGGCATTATATGAAGTCCTGGGGGAGTGCCATGAAATCTTGTAGCCCCCAGTGGCATGAGAACCTGGGAGCTGGTGCCACTTCTGGCATGGGAAGCCACTCTGCCTCCAGCTTCTACTTCTGGAACCACCACCCCACAGTCATGGCAGCCACAGTCACCTAGGCCACGGTGGGCAATGACTTGGCTTGGCTCCACAGGTGAGCTGTGCCACTTGTCCTCTCTCAGGAACTGGGGAGTGGCGGGATCAGGCCTGCTCATGGGGAGGGGCAGAACTGGAAGGGTCCCAGGGCATGGCTCTGCAGTAGAATTCAGGAGAGAGGGGAAAGAGCAAAGGGTCAAAAAGAGGGCTGAGTTAGAGAACCGAGCACTCAGACAGGTCCCCGCTGTGCCAAGATCCACTCAGAGATACAGAAGTCAAATCCTTGTATAGCTGGAGCCTGGGCCTGGTTTCCTACAATTCCTACTGCATCCTCACACTAACCTCTTTCTTGAGGCAAGTGAGGTGCATTTGTCGACCAGGTGAGTCAGCCTAAAGCAGTGCCCCCCAGATCTCTGACTTGAGGCATCTGCTCCCTCAGGGGAAGCTGAGGCACTCTGTGCACCTGGCCAGAGCTCACCTGCACTACAGAGATGTGTCCATGCAGCACAGCAAACGTCAGTGAGGTCCAGTGCCTGCTGTCAGGGTGGATGGAGGGGTGTCTGGGAGAGTTGCTTGGAACCTGGAAAACACAATGCTCTCTGTTTCCTGGGTAGGTGACAACCCAGAGCACCTGACACAAGCATCTTAGCTAAGGGGGTGCCCTGCAGGGATGGTGAGCAGGAGTTAGCACAAGTGCTTTCTACATTTGATTGGTAATGTCTGCTTAGAGCACCATATAGACAAAGTTCACAAGGAAAGGGTGGATGTTTAAGTAGTGATGTCTGTCCTGGGCAAAGATGGCAGAGGAGAGGAAATGGAGCTAGTATTTGGGGATGGAGGATGGCTGGTGATTAGTCTAGCAAGAGAGGGAAAATACCATAGAAACAGTCATGGCCATTCTCTCCATTCATCTCTCCTCAGCTTGTTTCCTCTTAGACAGAAAGTCCAAATCTTGAGGATTGCTGATTTTTCTTTTTTCCCTCCCTCCCTCCCCTCTTCCTCCTCCTTCTTTATTCTCTTTTAAGATGGGGTCTTGCTGTCATACAGGCTAGTTTCCAACTGCTTAGCTCAAGAGACCCTCCCATCCCAGCCTCTTGAATGTACCACCATGCCTGGTCTTTGCTGTGAACTCTATGCACCTTGTATTTCTAGTCTTCTGAGACACATTTACGCAGTCCTCCAAAATATTGCAACTAGCTTGGGTGCTAAACATTGCAGTGCTCTCTTTATTAGGCCAGGGCCTGGCACAGGCCTCTGTGGGGTTTGCTTACCTGGATGTCCAAGTTTGCCCCAGCATCAATCAACATCTGGACCATGGCTTCATCCCCAGCAGCACAGGCGTACATCAGAGGTGTCATACCCTGTGTGAATCAAAGGCTGATGCTGAACTGCCTGGAACAGACCACACCACCATGTACCCCCCCTCCACCAGGCCTCTTCCTGGCTGCTCCTCCCCAGCTCTCCTGCACCTTGTACTTGCAAGACCCCCGAAGGACACTAGAAGGGTGAGTTGGGGGCCATTTCCGTAGCACTGTGACAGCAGAAAGTGAAAAGCACAGATCCTGCAGGCAGACTTGTGCAAAAGCCACCTCTGTCAAAGGAACTGTAAACTTTGTATAAGTTCCAGTTCCTCTCTGTGCCTTAGTCTCCTTATCTTTAGAGCAGGAACAGCAGTGCCTGTCTCAGTTGCTGCAGTGCGAGTTAGCGTGTGTCGTGTGCTTAGTACGTGCAGAGTGAGCTTACCTTGACTAAGAGCTAAGAAGATAGTGACAATGCCACCACTGATACTGTGTTACACTGCCCCTACTATCCCCTCCTGGACCGGGGCCTGGAAAGCCCTGGGTTGGGTGACTTACAGGTACCATCGCATACAGTCACCGTGCTGTTCCTTTGAGGGAGGAGTTACTGTTGTCTCCATTCTGCAGAGGAGCAGCAGAAGGAATTAACTGCCCAAGTCACACAATTAGCAAGAAGTAGAACTTGGACTGGAACCCAGGTCCACATAAGTTGGGAAGCTGATGCTTGGAGCCCATCACACAAGAGGGTGGAGAAGTCCAATATCTGTGCTACTGAGAAGTCCAGGGCTTTTCTGAAGCTGTGCCCTGTTCCTTCCCTGAGTTTTGGTGGGCAGTTGACATGGCTACCTCCCTGGCTGGAAGTCTCCCTCTGGGACCAGCCATCGCTCAGATAGCAGTGAAATGTGTTTTCCACAGTTGGATCCTGGCAAGCATTTGTCTGGCGCCCTGAGATGTTATTTATTAGGTTATTTGTGTGTATACAAGATCTCCTTAACTCATAAATCCTTGTCTAGTGCCAAGAGATAAAGAAATGGCCAGAAATTAATCACAGGACTAGAGGACTGTTTGCCCACACATCAGCCTATAAATATCAAGGTTTAAGAACAACAGCACTATAGCTACAGCAAGCAACATCATGGAAATTTGGCTTTGTTTCATCCCCTGTGCACATGCGTGACTTTTTCCTTCACACATCTGTACACAATTAGAGCATAAATGAGGCCATGAGTCCTGGAGGAGAAATCATTTTTTTGGTGTGCTCCTTCCTTCCCCACTCCAGGCACATAAAGAGGCTAAAGAGGCAGCAAAGTGACAACAATAATAAGCATACTGACAGCAAGAACCAGAGTGAACACAGACTGAACATTTTCAAGGTGCCAGGTGGAGAATTCTCCCAACAGCTCTACGTGGCAGGCACTTGGTACTCCTTGGGGAGGCAGGGTAACTTGTCAAGAAGCCTCGGCTATGAGGTGCAGTGCTAAACCCTGGCTATCTGAAGCTAAACCGCATGGGCTTCCACACTGTGTGCCTGAAGAAGGACGGCTCAGGATGAAGGCCCCCCAGACCCTCGACATCTGCATTGACTGAGAGCCATGTGTGGGATCTGACCCCAACCATCACCTCCCTGCTGTGCCACTGAAGCGCCCTTCTGTCCCATGATCTTCCCCGTCTAAGCTCTGCTCTCCAACTGTTTTCTTTCACATTCTTGCTCACATCATCCCCGTCCCCAGGACACCCTCCCCACTCCTCCTCGCTGTGCCCCGCCCCTGCCGCGCCCTCCTCTCAGGCTCAGCTCCTACCCCTCCAGAGGAGGCCATCCCACCAGAGCCCGCCTGGGCCTATGCTTCTCCCGGCGCTCCTCACTGCCCATGTCATGCTGTCATCTTGTCCAACACCACTGCTTAACCCTCTGTGTCACCTAACTTCCCCCGTGCTTCTGTGTGGTCTTCCAAACCACGGTGCCAACATGTATACAATAATGACATTGGATAAACAACTGGGATATTCCACAGTGGATCAGAGCCTGAGTCACACTGCCTGGCTTCTTACTCATTGTGCTACTTTGGGTGAAGCAGCCTCTCTGTGCCTCAGTTTCCTCACCTATAAAATGGGGGGAAATAATAGTACACATCACAGGGCTGCTGTCAAGATTAAATGAGCAATCTATGTGAAACACTTAAATAATGCCCCCAGAACATAGCAAAAGTATAAGCTGTTTATAGCAAAACCAAAAGAAGTAATAAAAACACATGAACTCAGGTTAAATTCTATCTAAAATTATAAATCACCTCCAACATTTCCTACTTTTTCTTTTGCTTTGTTTTACTCCTTAGCACTTTTTGTTACTATATGCTCTATTTTGTGTGCTAGTTTCTTACTGTCTGTCTCCTTACTAAATGTCAACTCCACAAGGGCAAGTGTTGCTTTGGTCTTGGCACATGGTGGACACACATGCTCCCATACATGTGTTAGCAATTGTCATGAATAGCTTGCTATCACCCTGACTCCTCTGGACTCTTCCCCAGCCCCACACTATCTGTGATAGTCACCAGCCCTTCAGTCAGGGAACCAGAATCCATAGTAGCAAGGTTGTACAAGGGGTCCTGGGGAATGCCCAGTCTGAAAGTCCACCTGGAACAGGAGGCAGCTCACCTCTCAGAATCACAGAGCTAAGCAAGTCTCGGGTTTAGG